AACTGATTCCTTTCACAGAAACACAACTTCTGTTCTGAACCCGGGTATTTTTAAAGATCTCAGTTCCTTTTAAATCACGCTTACTTGGTCTTTTTTCAAATCTTTCCTGAATGTTTGTTGGTCGTGTTTTTTATTATGTGCTTTGAACATTGTTTGTAAAACACTGGAGTCTAATAACTCAAGGGAGTTCAAGCATTTTAACTTAAATCCAGTGGACTTGTCGCCTCTCTGTGTTGTTTTCTACGTATTATTCCTATACGTACATACAGTGATAAAGCCTCCTCTTGTTTGTGTTGCCCATGTAGAGAAGTCCTGACATCAGACGGGCCAACACGCTCCGTGTTTAGTTGTAGTTGTTCTGGTGTTCAGTTGTTTAAACGGCTTTGCTGAACTCTGACGTTTCCAGAAGCGCTGCCCTCTGGACAATGTGCTGTTTGTCCAGAAACCACCTCATGTTTGCCTTTCACACAGGTGGGTCCATGTGCTGTGTGCCATCACCGTGCTGGAAGCTCGCTTTGTCAACATCACCGAGCGGAGCCCCGTTGACCTCTCCGCCATCCCGCTGCCTCGCTTCAGACTGGTAAGACGCCGCGGCTGCAGCCTCGTGGTGTAATTAGACACGACCGCATTGATTTGGATGACGAGAGCGGTTTCTGTAGCCTCAGGCGTGAAGCTAATTCCTGTCAGTCCCGAAAACAAACTGGAGCCGCCTCTCTGCTGTTTTCTCTCAGATTGCATTCATGCGGTTGTGAGAAATCCTTTCTAGCTGGTTTTGGTTTTAATACTTCACCCCCATGGCGGCGTCTTTCTGCTTAATCGCGGCATTATGAGTAAGTTTTGTTTTTGCTCTCCAGTGCACCTTTGACCCAGATACAGGGTTCTTGGTACACGGCTGCTCTGACGTCCTCTCTGTGGTTCCCACTGAGGATGCACATTATACCTCAGTGAAACTGGTGTGGCGCCACTTGGCTGTCTGATAGTTTCACTTCTCATTTTAAAATAGATGCTGCTCAGCTGCATAATTCATACACAACAAAGCGATTTTTAAACTCTGAGTCAGCTCCCTGAAATGTTTACTTCAGAAGTGATGTTCAGGTCTGACATTACGTCTACCTTCTGTGGTTGGTGTGAGTCACCAGCAGCGTGCTGGAGATGATCCAAGGCTCTGGTCACAATAGCTGGCCTTGTTCTCCATTGTTAGTGCTGATCTCAGAGGAGCTGTTCTCAAAGGATTCACTAAAAAGGACACATGATGGCATTAAATGATCCAGGGGAAGTTGTGTAATTTCCCTCTGTGTTCCAGTTCATGTCTGGGTCTGCCTACCTTTGACTCCCTTTGATACCTTTTTATCTTCCTCCTCCTCCTCACTTGCCTTGTTTCCTTTCTCCTCCTTTCCTTCCTCTGTGTTTCCTTTGACCTGCAACTCATAACGTGTGCCCCTTATTCCCCCTCCACACTTGTGCCTTTGTCTCTGGCAGAAATGTGCGTACTGCAGGAAGCGGATGAAGAGGGAGGTGAAGGGCTGCTGTGTCCAGTGCTCCCACGGCCGCTGCTCCACGGCCTTCCACCCCACCTGCGCTCAGGCAGCCGGCGTCCTCATGCACCCCGACGACTGGCCCTTCATCGTCTTCATCACCTGCCACCGACACAGAACACCCGTCATACCTGAGGTACACCAGAGCTACAGTCAGGCTGACAGTGATGCTGACAGTGATGGTCACATGATTCCAGGCCCTGTTTTGGGTTAATGGGACTATTTCTTGTGAAAAGAAACAAAACCAAGTCACAGCACGCAAACCCAACCCCTGATCTCACCACTCACTCGATGGTTTAGCTGAAAAGTCAGTGGTAAATAATTCCTCTCTTCTTCTGAGAACTGATGTGCATGTTGTGGACCAGAGCCAAGTTTATCCTAACGTGATTTATGGGAGCTGTTTTGTCTGCCAAAAACACTCTTTTCAGAGCACCTCCCTTTTGATTTGCTTTGGATGCTCAAAAAATAATTTATTCTGGAGCCATAAAATGTTTTTAAGTTTCTCAGTGGAAAGAAATGTTCCTTCTGCTATCAGAGCAGATGAGCTCAGTCCAACACAACATCCACAAACAGTCAGGCTGTGATTAACGCGTCTCCATTTCCAGCTATCCTGAGTGAAACCTTTACGCAGCTCAGACGATCTGTGTTGACGAATGTGACCTGTTGGTTCCCGTCACACTTGGGTTGAAGTACAGACTTTGTTTTTCTATTACAGATGATTATAAATACAATCGTGACTCGATAATCCGACCCTTAACGATCCTAAACCTTGCTATCCGACAGGTTTTTAGGAAAAAAAGGAACAGAACCCATAAAAACAGCCTTAACATAGCGACAGCCTTGGATTCTGACTACGACATGACATTTTATGTCACCAATCAGGATAACGGCGTATTATCTGACTGAACAATCCCACAGATTGGCTACGTTCACACTGCAGGACTTGATGCTCAATGAGGATTTCTTTGTGAGTTCCTTCACATTTCCAGTTAAATGCGACTTGTATGTGATCTGCTGTGTGAACTTCATACGACCCAAAAGTGTCAGAGGACACGACGACGTCACACGCAGCGAGCGTGCTCAGTGTTTACGGAAGTAAACATGGATGGTAACGATGGAGCGTATCTGCCACTCCCCCACCGCCACCGATGGTGGAAACAGACATGTAAGCGCTAACTAAACTAGCATCAGCAGCCAAGTACTGCCTGTGTGTTCTGGACACTTCCACCCCGTCAGAGCGCTGCCCCGGGGTGGAAGTGTCCCCCGACCGCATCGAATGTTCTGATATTCATCACTAATTGGGCCTGAATATCCAGAGAGCAGAAAGTGCTATTGGGACCAGCCCTACTAGTTATTATGACAACTATGAACAATAATGAACAACTAATGAACCTTCCAGCATCAAGCCCTCCTTGTATCTGGACCTCCGTCTTGACAGTCCGACAGCCTTGCTATCCGACATAGAAGAAGGTTTTACGTTTAGTGTTGGATGATCCAGTCATGACTGTACATCTGTCATAGTGCTTAGAGAATCTGTATGTGTGGGTTACGTCTGATCGTTTAATCAGCTGCAGCACAGTTATTTAGCTGCCACAGGGTTCTTACTCTGGTACATGTTCATGCTGCTTTACTTCACCAGGTTGGGAAACAAATATCTGTCTGGTGCTGTCACAGATCAAGTCCTCGTCCACTGGATGAGCTTGTTTTTATGTGAACCACTATTTTAGGACTGATCTCTGCTGAGTTGTCTTTGTTGTTGTTGACTGCACTCCAACCCGTCTTATCTTTGTGTGGCGGTTGGTGCTGTGGAGTGATACGCTGTGAGGAGTAACGCCCAGTTCTTCTCCCCGCAGCGCAACAAGGCGTCCATGCGAGAGCTCGCCGTGGGTCAGAAGGTGATCTGTAAATACAAAAACGGCCGTTACTACCACAGCGACGTGGTGGAGCTGACCACCGCCACGTTCTACGAGGTGGTGTTCGACGATGGCTCATACAGCGACAACCTCTTCCCCGAGGACATCGAGGTCAATAAACGTTTAGCTTTTGGCTGTGTTGTACCGCAGATAAACTCAATGACGGCTATAAAACAAGATTACAGTGTTTAACTGTCTAGATGGGTGATGTATTAAATAAAGGTTGTGCTTTGATATGCTTGCAGAACCGGGACTGCGTCCACCTCGGTCCACCTTCCGAAGGCGATGCCGTCCAGGTGCGATGGACGGACGGTCTCATATATGGAGCCAAATTCGTAGCGTCGCACTCCATCCCCATGTACCTGGTAAACCTCTACCTGTCTGTCTGTCTGCCTGCCTGCCATGACACGCACCAGCTGGCTAAATTTAGAACGTTCAAACCACACGAGCACATTAGATGCATGATTATGTTCCTCAAAATGTGTGTGGTCAAAAACATGACTCATCAAACACAGACGCTTACTCAGTGATATCTGACACATCTGGCACATCTGAAAAAATGTGTGAAATAAAATAACCTTGATTGAGTGAAGTTCTGTACCTGCTTGTGAATGTTCAGGTGGAGTTTGAAGACGGGTCACAGATCACAGTCAAACGAGAAGACATCTACAGTCTGGACGAGGATCTGCCTAAACGGGTCAAGTCACGGATGGTAAGCAGAGTCTGTTATTAGAGAGCATCAGAACCGCTGCAGATATAAATGTTCTGTAACACATGTGGATCTGGACCGACAGCTTATCGTTCGTGTCCGGTCAGTAGTTAACTCCACCTGCCATGTTTGTGTTTGTCTCCAGTCGGTGGCGTCAGACATGCGCTTCGAGCTCTTCTCGCAGAACGACGTCAAACAGAACTCCAAAAGGCAGCGGGTCATCAACTCTCGGTACCGAGAGGACTACATCGAGCCCGTCATCTACCGAGCCATCATGGAGTGATTTTTATTTTTTCCCCTGCTTTCCACGCCATCGACCCGCCGCAGAGAGCCAAAGGTTTCCACGTCTCGGTCCGGCTGCTCTGCTGATAAGAACGGCTGCCCTCCTCCGGTTCTTCCACGGCCCGTTGGCCTCCATATTTATAAACTACGGCTGGGACTTTAAATGACTTTTGTGTGCATTGAGTAATATTCTTAGACCTCCATTTCCCACCACACTCTGTAGGCTGGTTTTCTTTTTGCCTCCATCAGATTTTTTCTTTTTCTCAGGAAGAAGCCATCAGTGAATTATTAAACATGGAAAAGATTGGACTATCGTACTTCTGTTTCTCCTCCACCACATTCAGCAACTGTACAGTAAACTACACGACGGAGCGTTTCCTCGTGGCTTTTCTTACAGACTCATGCTCTTTTCATAACAGTTGATCACAGTAAGGTTTGAGGGAAATGGGGGGAGGTTTCAAAGGAAGAGTCGTGCGGTTTGACTGTGAGCTCAGAACCAGCTGATGTTCAGGTGCAACCCCCAAAGAACTGAAAAAGAATAATAAAGGTCTCAAGGTCACTTTTTTAACGAATCTTTAGATTGTACTTTCCACTTCATGCTTCGGATCACGTGTTGAGGACCGTGTTTCATCTGAGGTGTGTCATCCTGCATCTGCTGTAGAGACAGACGACATGTTCTACAGGCCCAAGCCTTACACTTCTACGGGCCCAGCGGACTTTGGGTTTTGTCCTGGTTTATTAAAACTATTGTAATTAATATTATTACATTTTATTTATGCAAGTTCACAAAGTTTGAGAACAAAGCTATTTTTGTCATGTCCTTTTCTCAGTCTGTAGGAAAGCTCAGATGTGTTTATATTTATTATATTGGTAGGTTTTCAGACGTGCCGTCTACGTGTCGAGGCTCGCTTTTCCTTCGCAGGGATTGGACGTTGAGGCTGGATCTGGCTCGAGCTTCTACAACAACAAAAGCACTTAGTGTTGTGTCCGTTCACAGGACGCTGAGCGTGGCCTCCACTGCGTTTAGGTTTTCTGTGTGTTTCTAATGACAGCTAGCTCTAGAGGTAGTGTCGGGTCATAGTTGGACCGGAACTGCAGTTTGAGAGGTTGATTTTCAGATTTGAGGACGTTTTCTTTCTCTGTTGTACCTGCTCTAAAGTAGTCGTGTGCAGAGAGAAGCAGGACAAGGTGCGGACGCCCTTCCCATGGCTACTGTTGTCCGTTTGGTTTCTCTGGCTCTGTCTCCAGCAGTGCTCAACCTGTACACTCTTTGTAAACAACTGTTTGAGTAAAGTTTGAGCTAAGAAAAAGAACCTTGTATATTTACTTTCTCTACGACGACCCCGCTGACAACCCGGCGGATCAAAGCCCTCAGGTTTAGGCAGCGCTGCTCTTACCGCGGCGCTGGAACACGCTTTCATCTGCATTTCTTTTGCCCCCCTTCGCCGTGTTGTGGAGCTCCTGGTTTTGGATGTCTGAGCCGGAGGGCCTGCAGCTGTGCCAGGACGGGATGAGTCCTGTGAGGTGGAGATCGCTGCACTTAAACTCTGTGAACTTCAGGTTCTTACACGTCAGGCTCGTCACTCAACAGTCCATCACTGCTGCAACAGGAACTCGTAATATGATATGTGCTGGAACATAGCCTCCAACTGTGCTTTTAGTTTGGTTAGAAATAATAAAAGGCACCGCAGGACAACTTTAAAGAAAAGTGAATGGTAGCCATCTGAGACTCTGTTTTAGAAAAAACTGTCAAAAATTAAATGGGAAAAGAAAACGATAGACGTGTGGACGAAGCACTGTTCCTCCTGTCATCAGTCACGTTGGAGAAATCTGAGGTTGAATAATAAAGAAAGCCTAAATAATTACAACCAGCTTCAGCTCGGGTCCTCCTGACTGAGCATCGGGTCACGGCGATGAAGCATAAAGGTCACCGGACGTCGGCACTAAACTATACATGTTGGTTTCTGATGTTTAGTTTCATTGAGAAAGAGGAGCAGTAACCTAAAGCAGTGCTGAACTAGACTCTTGCGTAAGCTGCTGCATGTGGGTTTACGGGCTCTGATCAGGAGTGCTGATATTTGCATAAGAAAGTTCACAGCCAGCTTGAGGCAAAACCCTGACACCACTGAACCTTTAGTACGTGGACATGTTCCTGCTGCTTCACCGTCTGCTGCAGACAAAACGACCATGATAAGGACTCTGCAGAGGGAATCTCTGCAGAAAAGCTTAGCTTCACGTTTTTCACCCTGAACCCCAGTCGTATAACGAGACATGGAGCTTTTATTACGGCCTTCTAGCTGTAATTTCCACAAACTAGAACACAGCCACTAAAATCAACAACTATTCACGTGCAGCTTTTAAAACAGAAAACAGCTGGATTTTTTTTCCCTGTAAACTTCCACGTCCACGCCATCCTGGTACCTGCTGCGTCGTCAGATTCCACAGAGGCAGCCGGATCAACCACGGCACCCTATAATGATCTTTATTGCACCTTTAATTAAAGCGGCTGCACAGTAAAAGGTACTGAACTCCTTTAAACCGCTGGTATGCGGCGCACCGGTCCACGTGGCCGACGCACAGTGAGCCGCCTGAAGGAATGTGATGCAACTGAGCAGCGGCTCGTATAGAAAGTGAGTTATGGACTCTATCACTCTGCTGCCTGACGGGAACCTGGACTGGATGCACTTCGTTTTGTTGGTGTTGAGCGTGTCCCCACAAGAGGACGGAGCGCCGAGTTCCTGTTCAGATCTGAAGTGTGCTGGTTATTGATGCCTCATGCTGGGTTTTTGTGGTTGTTCTGGTAGATTAATGGTAGCAGCTGGACCTGCTTGAGTTCCTTGAAGACGTTCCACCTTCATCCAAGAGGCTTCATCAGCTCTGACTGACTAGTTGGGAGTTCCACATACTGATATCCTGAAGGAGACATTAACACCTGAATTTGGGTTTCAAATGGTTGGATGAGAGGTGAAGGAACTCAAGCAAGTGCAGTTGCTGCTATTAATCTACGAGAATAACCACGACCTGGAGGACTGAGGATCCTCACAGACATTTTTGAGAATACGTCAATATTTTCCAACTAATGTTGTGTTAGTGCCAGTATATATTTTACGCCACCAAATGTCAGTGAACATCAGCTTTTCCCCGTAGTTAATTTGACACATTATTACACCTGCTCTCATCATGTTCTACTGGCAGGTGCAGACGTATAATGCTTTTTAAACTAGAAAAAAACACTTTAACTTACACTTACATGAACATCCATCCATCATCTCTACACCTTAATCCTCACTAGGGTCACAGGGGGCTGGAGTCTATCCCAGCTGACTCAGGGTGAAGGCAGGTTCACCTGGACAGGTAACCAGTCTATCACAGGGCTACACTTAGAGACAGACAACCAAGCACACTCACATTCACACCTACGGACAATTTACAATCACCAATGAACCTCAACATGTTTCTGGACTGTGGGAGGAAGCCAGAGAACCCGGAGAGAACCCACGCTGCACGGGGAGAACATGGAGACTCCACGCAGAAAGATCCCGGGTGTCCTCACCAGGACGCCAACCGGTGACCTTTTAGCTGTGAGGCGCTAACGGTGACCTGATAATTTCCTGTCTTTACCATCAGACATGATGAACAGATCTCCTCAACACACTGCCGTCAATGTTCTGTTCAATGTAAACACTGGTTCTGTGGTTTCCCTGGTCAGGTTGTTCCACAAACTGATTCCTTTCACAAAAACACAACTTCTGTTCTGAGCCCAGGTTTTTTTTTTAAGATCTCAGTTCCTTCCTTTTTTAATCCTCTCACTTACTTGGTCTTTTTCAAATCTCTTCTGAATGTTTACTGGTCATGTTTGTTTTATGTGCTTTGAACATTGTAAAACACTGGAGTCTAATAACTCATGAGAGTTCAACTTCTGAATCGTGAAACCGATTTATTCGCTCAAATTTGGCATGTAAAAGCAGCATTTATTTATATATCCATTCATTTTAAAGGCATGCTTCTACGGTTAGACCTGTCATTACAAAAGAAGACCACAGATCAGTAAATTCATAAAAATCCTCTCCGGGGAATTTTTCATTTAACGTAATGACACAGGAGAACTTCGCTTGACGTAAAGTCCTGATTGCGTTAATGTCACCATGAAATTCTGCTAAAAGTTCAGAGGCAGCGTGTGGATGGGTAGGATGTGGTCACACGGTTGTCGCCTGGTAGCTAGAAATGAATACCAACATCCTGCCATTTCTCCATCTGAGCTGCACTTCTGCTCCAACTGCTACACCCTCAGAGTAACTGACAACGAGAAACGATGGTGACACTTCAGGGTTCCCTGCTGTGGTTTCTCTGTAGGTTGACATAATCGGGTTTTTGGTGTGCTGTTGTGACATTTCACAGTCTTGGTCTTTGTCAAAGTCTGCTGCTGTGATAAGATGCTTCTTAGTTCAACGCCTCATTTCTGAATCCTTGGTATGAGGGCAACACGTGTTCTGACCCAGGAATGTATGACTTCACCTGGTGCTACAGAAGGTCATTTGATAAAGAAAGAATAAAACTTAATTATGCCCAGTAAAAATCCAAATAAACCTATAAAATCCATCCATTTCTTCCACGTGTCCCGGGCTGAGTTGCAGTGGCAGCAGGTCCTTCCACATGCTGTCCTCCCTACTGATGTTTTCCATCTCAGTCTGGGGAATCCTGAGGCCTTCCAAGGCCAGATGAGGTATGTAATCATTCCAGTGGCTTATCGGTCTCCTCCCATTTGCCTGGAAAGTCTCCAGAAGAAGGCACCAAGGAGGCGTCCTTCATCAGAACCACCTTGACTGGCTCAGTTCGATTGTTTTGACCAAAAAAAACTGGTGAATGTGACGTTTGAATGAGACTGAAGCACAAACAAGTGGAAAATATGATGTTTAAACTGAAGTCATGTGTACACTGAATCAGCCCATAGAAACCACAACCCAGTGAGAAATCTATAGAAGACAGGAACTGAAACAAATGATTTCTGAAACACGAGCTCTCTCTGGGTTTGACTTTGTGTTGAAGGTCGCGCTGGCCTGGTGAACACGAAAGATGAAACCGGGATTAGAAAACCAGTCGCAGGTGCAGCGTCAAGGAGAGAAAACAGGAGGGAGTTGATGAGATCGAACACCCTCAGATGTGAGGAAATCCAAACATAATGATGGCAAAGATGTCCTGATTGGTCTTGGAAAAAAGGATGGGTTGTGGTTTCCCAGGAGAAGGAGGAGAGATTGGAGGAATTTCAAACCGTAAATAAGAACAAAGACGTTTAGTCGGTTGAAATCTCGAGATTTTGCTCGTTTGTTCGTATAGCTTCTGAACATTCCTCACACCAGACTCTGAAAACCTTTTTGAAGACTCCAGTAGTTGATCCTGACGTGATTTTTAGACGACAGGTTTGACGAAGCTGCCTGATCGTCACTGGCCCACAGCAGGCGGACTGAGTCCCGACATGATGCGAAGCAGCAGCGACTCGACTCTGAGTTCCTCCCTCCCCCCCGAGTCTGATTCCAGCCAGTTTACAGAGAAAATTCATTCCTGCTGCTTGTATCTGCAATCGCATTCTTGGGGTTACTCCCCAGAGTTCATGGCCATGGGTGAGTGTTGGAATGCAGGCAGACTGGTCAACCGAGAGCTCGCCCTCCACTTCAGCTTCCCTACCACCATGACGGTCCCATACAGTTCTTCTGTTGCTGCTGACACCGCACCAATCCATCTTTACATCTCACTCTTCATGTTTTCCGTCACTCACGAGCAAAATCCTGAGATACTTAAACTCTTCTGCTTGGGTCAGTAACTCCTGTCCGACCCAGAGGAAGCTGTCCACCAGTTTCCTGCAGAAGACCTCAGACCTGAAGGTGTTGACTCTCACCCTTAACATTCGACTGTAAACTGCCCCAGTGTGTGCTGAAGGCGACAGAAACACATCATTTGCAAAAAAACAGAGATGCAACTCTGAGGAACTGTCTTCCCTCCTCCCTCTGGCTGTGCTTGTAGATCTTGTCCATGAATGTCTAAAAGGCAAAAGGCAACAGTGGCAGAATCCGACAGCCGCCGGAAACTTGTTTGTACACACTGAGAAACTGAGAAATCTAAATTATGTGTTGGCCTGATGATTATCTGTTGATGACTTCACAGCTTCGGTTCAGACAGAAGCATCCCAACAACTATCAGTGCAGACATTCATGGTCTCCAGAGGATGACGCCTGAAGACTTCAGTTTTCCTCTTGAACCACCAAGTGGATAGAAATGTCCTTGTATTTAGTAAATACCTCAGCATCTATTAAAATAC